TTATACATTTATATTACATAGTTATATATACTAATATGTAACTTAGATATACTACTGTATAATAGTTTATAAATGTTTAAAAATATATTTACAATATATTATAATATATATATTTATATGTATTTATACAACCTATAATAATATAGTTATTTTTTACCCTTTCGAGACCCTTGCTTTATCCCTGTGGACGACCAAGGTGCCGCAGACCCCATGTTGAACACCAGAATCCTAGACTAGAACAGTGAACCGACTGAGGAGGACAGATTTCAGGGAGCGTTACTGTCACTACACTGATTCCTGCTCTTGTTCTTTTTTTTTCCTCACCCGTGTCCTTCTCCCCCCGCGCCCCACCGCTGCTCACTGAGACATTAAGGTGAGACTTTACACAAATTGCAAAGATGCAAAAAAAAAAAACAACCAAGAATTACGAAGAATGCCACGACCTTTTGCAGAGTTCCTTCCTTTTTATGACTGTAAACATCTCACTGAGTTATGGCTTTGAGGGAGAAGATTAAAATTACGACGGTTTGGTTTGTCCCGAAAATGTTGAAAGTTCAGTCGGCACAAAGTGACATTGATGGCAGACCAGAGGGATTAGCATATTAGAAGTCACTTTTATCAAGTAATTTAAGGTGAGTTGGAACAAGGGGGAAGAAATGACTTATTTACTTTGTAACAGGTCAAATTATTACCGTGTTACGAGGTTTTTACAGCACATTTACCATATTATTATAGTTATTTTTTGACCCTAGGAAAGGTCACAGACCCAAAATGACCAAACTTGATCAACTTGAGGGTGGGGTCTGTAATACAAACGCTGGTTTGTATTACAGATTTATATTATTGTTAAACATTACATCTAACATACATTTTCAACCACAGCGTCGAAAATTGATTTTTAGATTATGTCAGAGACGGAGGAGTAAGTAGGGGGTCTTAAAGAATATTTAAGCTCTTATCACTGCGTAACCCCCCCCCTCCCCCCAGGGGGGCGGGAGGGAGGCTGCAGATATCTGTTTCCTAGTCTCCTTCTCTGCCTCCTCATCCTCTCTCCTTGTCCTCTTTATCCTTCTTCTCTCTCTCCCTCTCTTTCCATCACTCCCTCTCTTGTTCTCGTCTGATGAACTCGGAGAGGAAGACGAGATGTCAGGCAGACGGGGAGGAGATGTTCTCGATGCACGTGCACGGACACATGCGCATGTGTTTCTGCATGAATTTGCTAATATCACCACTTCAACGGTCTTGACTCTGTTAGATACGCACACGACAACAGACAACAGCGTCTGTTGTTGTGTGCACTCACACTGGGATTGATAAGACGCACAAATGACAGAGAGAGAAATAACAAGACCCCCCCGCCCCTCCGTTTACCCACATGCTCAGAGAGCAGGGTGGAAACCTCTCATGAAGGGAGTTGTATATTTGGAGAAGACGTATCATTAAGATAGGCGGAGGGAGAGGAAGGTAGGAAGGGAAGGAGGGAAGGATGTGCAGAAACTTTCCATCTGCTCTTGAAAAGAACATGTTATTGCTTTTCTCACTAAAGGCCTCTCTCTCTCTCTCACTCTCACTCTCTCGCTCGGCTGAACTGCAGCCAACAGTGTTGTGGAAAAAAAAAAGAAAAAAAGATGGCAGCATCACTCAGAGGCGATATTAAAACTCGACAAAACAGAAACTAAATCACAATGTTTTGAAACATGGCCGCCGCTTTGACAGATTTGTTTAAGGTGAGAGACAAACGGCTGTCGAGTCGTTGGCATCGGTCCTCTCAGTGAACCACCAATAACACAGAACAAATGTATGGTCTTTATTTACTTGTGTCTCTTCATCTCCACGTAGTTAATAGATCCTGTGTCCCCTGAACTGATGTCAGGAATGAGACGGCAGAGAACAAATGACACAATAAAAACATCCACACTATGTTCTGTTGGCAGCTGCTAACACTGTTTAGCCTAAATGCTAATACTGTAGCTTTGCTGTGGTGGTGGAATGTGATGTCAGGAGGGAGGTGGGACTGAAGGTTCAGTGTTAGAAACCTTGATGTGTCTGTCAGTCACATCGTCATCTTAAATCAGATTATCAGTTAAAGGGTAATTAACAAACCAAGATTATATTCTTCATCCCTAATTAAAATTCTGGTTCTGTAGTAATGGACCTGAACCCATCGCTTTCTCCAATCTGGATTCTTGTAGAAGGGCAGCAGCAGCGGCGGCGTTGAAACTGGGCATATTTGTGCCGTACAGTCACCCCCCCCGGCATTGTGAGGCAGATGATTCTGTAGATCTGCGGGATATAGAAAAGACACATTGACGCTCGCTCAGTTTGTGAGTAAGAAGACGTATAGAGGATATCGTAGAGTCACATGACTGACTGGCTCTTCGTGGCGACTGCAAAGATCAGGGAACTCACATGACAAAAAGTATAAAGAATATTATTTTTACTTTTAATACCGAGACAGACGAGCGGCGCCACGGATTTGCCGCAGAGATCTTGATATGATCTGATTGTTCTGCTGTATGGATGAGACCAACGTACACACACACACACTGATCCATGAATGGTCACAAAGTTCATGTTTATACTCCCGCAGTCACATGTACGTGCGCACAGAAAAGACGGGGAGAAGTGGACACAAATCTGGCCAGAGGCAACAATGCAGTAATAACGCAGTGCATGAAATTAGCCTCCTTGTGTTCCCATTCACCACAGCCAATCACATGGATGACGGAAGGCCCGGAAACACACGGGCTCCTCTGTGTTTGTGTCGCCTCGTTCCAGCGCTAGACACAGTACTGCTCATTATGTGCAGAAAAAACTTTATTGAAAATATGAAAACACTGGCGCCACACTGATTCTTCATGTCTGATTGACTATTAAGTGCTTGTGTGTTCCTGTTGGACACACTGTATATGCTACAGCGGAGCTCGTGGCTGAGCGGCGCCCCATGACACAGTAGGATGACTGAAGGAAGTCAGGGCCCAGGACTCTGACTTTTATTCCCTATTCAATTTTTTTTTCATTTATTTTTTTATTAAGTATTTCATGCCTGATTCACTAACAGCTGAGGAATGATATGAAGATTTCCTAAGAAAAGGAAGTAAAAAAAAAACTTTTCTCAGAAATGAACCTCTTTCACACAAAGTAACGTCATATCAAAACTATGTTGAAAGTCTGAGAAAACAAGTCCAAATAATTTTAGTATTTTAAGTGAAATGTCAGATTTCTGAAAACGCAAGAACTAAAAAAAATGAAAAAAACTTAAATAAAAACGTATCGTACTAATATGAGGAAAAATATTAAAATACATTTTCTCCATGAAAATAAATTACATTCCATTTTATTATACTATTTTGACAAATAAAATATTGAAATATATTTTCTCTATAAAACGTATTTTGACAAAAAAAATATTGACATATATTTTCTCTATAAAACAGAATTTTAACAACAATTTTGAGTGGCTGGAATGTCGAAATTGTGACTTCATATATTTACCTTTTTTTGTTCTGTTTTGTTTTTTCAATATTGAAAAATAAACGACTCGACCCCATGCGTTTATGTTGTGTTCTGCTATAAAAACTGTTCAGGAAAATCTCCTCCAACGTTACATTTTACTGCACCTCCTCTTCTCCCTTTTCTCCTCTCCTCCACTTTTACGACCGAGCTGCTGGTTTTCAGCACAGTCCGTGTCCTGTCTCAGTCATGAACCGACACATTGTCCCCCGGGAAAAAGGCTCCTTGAATCTGTGACACCCCCCGACCCCCCAAAAGTCAGTCTTCTATAAATCAACTCACCTCCAGGTTCACGGTCATCCACATTTATTTATTCAATCAAATATTTAACCAAGTGACTCGTTCTGAGCAGCTCCTTTAACACGTCTTTGGTGGTCGCGTCGCTCCTCTGTGGTTACAGTCGTCGGGGGATTAAGAGCGGTGGTCGCGCTGCTCCTCTGTGGTTACAGTCGTCGGGGGTTTGATCCTGTTCTGTTTGTGACCCACGTGTTTCATTAATGGCTTCAGGTTTGCAGTTTTTTTCAAAGCCAATCTTCCTTTTCCTTCTTCATGACCAGCTCGCTCATCTGTCTCTTCATCCATCAGCGCCTGCAGAAACTCACTGCAGCCAAATGCCAACTGTAGTCGTGGCCCTGTCAGGCTGAGGAGGCAGCCAACGTCACTAAAACACAGAGGCTTTAACATTTTCCTCGTCCACATTTCACTGAGTTAACATTTGTTATCCGCAGCTCACTGCTCACATGTGTGGCCAGGGTGAAAAGTGAGTCCATCTACGCAGATCTATTTGTGTAAGAGGCTGCCTAATTACCAGAGCTGGTTCTCCACTTCACTTCACTTTCTAATTGGCTTTTTGGCTTTTTTTTTTTCTCCTCCACCGGCTGCCATTAATTGCAAGAGCTCATATTCCATTAATGATCAGAGGCGGAGGGAGAGAAGGCCATTAGCTGTTGTTCACTCCATCACTCAGTACAAACCAATGATATTTGAAATTTCAGAGTCCCGTGCTGTGGAAATGATGTTTTTTTTTTATCTGCTGCGGTGTAAGAAAATATCGATACATTGAAATATCGTGATATTTCATTTCCTGATTCCTGATCTCCTCCATCAGTTGTTGATTTTTTTTTATCACCAATTCCCAGTCCAATATTCCTGGTGTTGGTTCTTGTTCTTTTTCTTTTCTTTCTTCTCTAGTGATTCCAAATGTAGATCCCTCTGTTCCAGTGTTAGGAACTGATGTTCAGATGGAACAGAGTCTGAGACTAGGATCACACTGGGACTACAGTTACAGTTACTCAATATATGGTCTTGCCTATAGTAACGCAATATATCGTATCGGTGGCCCATGTATTGCGATATGTATCGTATCGTCAGATTTTAGCCATTACACACCCTTACTGACTATTACTGAAATCTATTATTATTTAATTATTATTATCAGTTTGTGAATTTTTTTCTGATATCTCTCTGTGTTCTCCTCTGTTCCGCAGCATCCATATCCCTCAGAAGAACAGAAGAAACAGTTGGCACAAGACACAGGCCTCACCATCCTACAAGTGAACAACTGGTGAGTTTTCTTCTTTAAATTTCTTTTTCTTTTTTTTTTTTTTTAAGTCCGAGTTATCATGCAGTCTACACTCCTGAGGGTCGGACTCCTTAATGACTGGGATTCGACGCCTTGAGTCCAGCTCTAATTTCACAGCGTTCACGTCACACACATTCAGCACTAGCGCTAATGAATCATCCTCATCTGGATCAATCCATCTGAAGAGACATGGCCTGCAGTGATTTTCCAGAGCAGCACTCTGACTCCGCTCCTACACAAGCCTCCGTGTTAATTAAAAGTCAAAGTACATTCTGAAAACATCCAGTAAAAACATGCACAGCTTATATACCGGAGCGATGACTGGCTTTGAACCTAATTATAGGATTTGACTTGGACTGATGGGCTTGTGATTTGAATGCAGGACTTTTTTTTTTTATAGGGATGAATGTTGTTTTTACTAAACAGTGAACACCGTGATCAGCATTTACTTTTATTTACCAGATTATATTCTTATCAGAGTCAGGGATGCAAAAAAAACCTTTTAAGGAGCCCAAATTCAATAATGTTAAAAACACCCTGAGGCCCAGCTCCTTCAGTGAGCACTTATGACTTAGAGTAAATGAATACGAATGAGCCGCAATTCAACGCAGTTGCTCGGCAAAAGCAGCAAAAAGTTCGTCAAAAATACAAAATAACTGGAGTTAGGAAAATCTGTGCCAAAATAAACATGTAACCAATTCTATAAAAAAAAAGAAAAAAAAAAGTTTGGTGTCATTAAAACTTTCAAACATAAATACAGCATCAGTGGAATGAAAAGTGAAATATTATAAATAATGTTTTTAGCATTTATTAAAAATATTAGTTGGTCCTGAATTCATCCCTGACAAAGTTAAAGATAGCAAACAAACAGCTAGTCAGAGAAAAAGGCTAAAAGTCAGATTAACTTGTTTAGAGCTAACCAAAGAGTTAGCAAAGCATCCAGTCAGGAATTAGTTAATGGTTTGACAAAAGCAACAATTTTTAAATTTTTTTGGCATAATGTCAATCAGGCATTTTTGTCCCTTTTTTAAACCCCCTTACGTGCTTCAGTTGGCCACGGGGCCTTATTTTTAACACGCCTGTTTACAGTTGATTTTCAGAGCACAATAATTAACGAGCTTCACTGAAACCTGCAGCTGTTGTTTTAGCCCGGCCGATGCGTATTCTTCCGTATTTAAAAGGGTCATTTTATACTTCCTTTTTACATGTTGTTGTTCAGTAACCGTTTCATAGGGCGTGAAACCTGTGCAGTTGTCCTTGTTAGCAGTCAGCGTATCTCAGAAGTGCACAGCCTGGTTATGAACCCGCCGCCGCTTCAGATTACTGCCGTGTAGACGTGCCAACTGGCCTGTTAATGTGGCAGGAGCATGACTGGCCGGGGCAGTAAAATCAGGCTGGTAACTGGGCCTTTTTAACCTGTGGTGAGAAGGCCGTAAAAAAAAAAAAAAAAAGGCTGATCCGGCCCCGCGTCCTTGTGCTGCTGCTGCCGTCTTATCTGAGAGATGACTATCAGCACATGCTTAGCGTTATTAGCCATGTCTAATTAAATGGGCTGGAGTCAGGGCAACCGGGGTATCGAACCCGAGCGGACGCCGTTTGATCTGAGCCGTCGGAACTTAATCCTGGAGAGGTACGAGAGCAGGGAAAGCAGCAGCAGCAGCAGCAGGAGGAGGAGGAGGAGGAGGAGGAGGAGAGCAGAGGAAAACAGAGGGTTAGAGGGAGGAAAGGAGAAAAGGAGGAGATTAGATATGCTAACTTCATTAGCAGCAGGCTAATGATGTTAGCATTGTTCCCAGGTATTGTACAGTCTGAGACAGACTGACGTTAGGTCAGTGCTGTGTCGTGTTGGTCTATTCAGGTCCTGACCAGATAGAATCCTCTGGACGCTCGTAGTCAACCGGTGGCTCTGGGTTCCAGATCCTGTCGTGGTCGAAAATAAATATATTAACGAAGAGCTAAGACAACAGAGCAATCATAACAACAACACAGAAAAAATATTTATTTAAAAAAATATTGTTCAAATGTAACAAGTTGTTAGTAAATTTTTTTTATATAAAATATAATTGATAAAATATATGTTATATTTTTTTTGCAAAACAATTGACAAGTTTAAATCTAGCAAGTTGACAGTGAAAAATTTTTTATAAAATATAATTGATAAAATATATGTTAACCTGATGGAGTGAAACGACCGGCCCCTGAGTTCTGTGTTTGTTTTGTTTTTTCAATTGTTGCCCCTTTAATGATACACTGAAACAGGTCTGCTGTGGAGGTTATCAGATCATGTGACCTCCCTGAAATCCATGGGGGATCAATTCCTACAGCTGAGATAAAACCAGGCTGTGTGTGTGTGTGTGTGTGTGTGTGTGTGTGTGTGTACGCAGTCACATGAACAGTAGTTGGGTCACCAAAGGCTGACTGTGTGCCTTCTCTTACTTGGTTTGTTATTTTTATTGGTGGTGGTGGGAGGGGAGGGGGGGACAATGTTTGTGCAAGACTAACACACACACTCTGTGTATATGTGTGTGTAAAATCGTAGGAGGTTAATCTGAGTTTGTGTTGAGTGTGTGTGCGCAAGATATATATAAATATATAACTACACACACACACACACACTCTACACATATATACAGAGATGAACCGGGGGTGGTTAATCTAAGGGGTATTAGCTGATAAACCCTCATTGCTGGGATCCTTTCTACCCCCTCACATTTTGCTGCTTAAAAGTGTGCACGTCGGTGTGCGTGCACGTGTCCTCCGGCGTATTTCCGCACATAGTTGTTGGGAGTGCAGTGTGTAGCATGTTAGGACAACAGAGCGGCAGAGAGTTGAGTTGGCAACGAGATAATCGGCCTCCGCCGTGGAGAATTTTACAAACACGAAAGTGGAGAAGGAAGGGAGAGCTGTAGAACCCAAAGAACACCGTCCCCACTGTGAGACAGGGCTAGTGTCACTTTAAGAAACTTGGCTGAAAGTTCACAAAGAGCAGCTGATTTTTTTTTTTTTATTATTACGGACTATTTTACGGAGAAAGAGACTGAAGACAGAAGAAAGGTCGGCTAACAGGAAGTGAGGTCACATCAGGGCTACTGTCATTTCACAGCCGCGTCGTCGATTTGGGAAACCCCATCATTGGTTGTCTCCATAGCAACCAGGGTGGTGACGGAGGTTACTCTTCTGACCCACTGATTTGTCGGAGTCATTTTGCTGAGCTGTGATCACGTGTGTTTGTCAGAGCACACACACACACACACACACACACACACTTTCTCATCCGTTCACTTGCACCAAATCAGGTCTACAAGTGTGAAATCAAGGCAGTGAAGACGCAGGTCAGCGTAAAACACTCACTCGGTGTTACTGTGTGTGTGTGTGTGACGCTAACACAGGGCCCTTTAATTCAAACAGAGATTCCCTGGTGCAGAGTATTTCTGCCAATAATTCATGAGTGATCTGCTCCCCCTCGCTGGCCTTTAGCATTTTTATTTAATATGCCGAGTCCTACTGTGTGTTCGCTCATCAATAATACACACAGGACATGTGTGTTAACACAGTTATCATCGAGTGTGTGTGTGTGTGTGTATTGGAGGAAATCAACGGTTACTTTACTAAGTATTAAGGATCATTAATGACGTTGTTGTTCCAGTAAAGACCAGCTGGGACCAAACCCTGGTCCTAATGGTGTTCCTGAAAAAGGCACTAACTTCAACTACTTGTGCAGCCCCCAAAAATCGTGGATTAAATCTACAAGTAAATCCAAAAAAATCAAAACATCCAGGGGTAAAAAAATGATTGTTTGTCTTTGAAAACTGCCTGAAGCTCGACTCTGTCACTAATGTCAAGCTCTGTGGATGACAGACAACTGAAAAGTTTGACGTTATGTTTCCGCAACATGTGCTATTAATAGACAACAACATAAAAAAACAAAAGATAGGCAGCAGTGAACGGAGCAGGAAAGTTTCCGCTTTGGCCCAGATTGAGGCGCGGTATCGGATTCCTCCGGTGCATTATCAACGCGTCCTTGAACAAAGCTGCTCTTTATGTGCTCATACATTTTTACTGTTCTTAATACAGACAAAGGTGTGACACCCGGGCCTGTCTCTCTGTCTCCGTCTACTTTCTCTTTCTCTGGTTGCAGTCTGTATCCCGGCGCTAAGTTCTCCTAACGCTCCGCTGATGTAAAAATCGATGGCGGGGTCATCAGGTTTCCCTCGTTGGCCGCCCCTCCCTTTCCTGCCTGCAATTTAATAATGCCCCTTTAAAGGCAGTGTTTAAGCCTCGCCGGGCGATTGTTTTGTCAATAAGGCCTCCTTTTACGAACATCTTAAAAGCATGGACGAGGGGAGAGTCAGCGGGGGAGGAGGGGGGAGAGGGACGAGTAGTGTTTAAGAGGGCAGGATGCACGGGCACTGAGGCTACTTAGGAAGGAGTTATGTGGTACATATACAGTACAGTATGTCTCTGATCAAGTTTCTGAAAGGACAAGATGAGCAAGTGCATGGGGGGGCGGGATGGGGGGGAGGGAGATAGGACGAGAGAACAAAAGAGAAACACGGAGAGAGTATCACATCAGCAGAGAGAGAGAGGAGAAAATGTCTGTTGATTGTCAACAATCCAAAACAAGGATCCAGAATGTTCTCCAGAATATCTTCAGATGTGGCAATTACTTCAGAAACGTTGTACCGTGTAGGAGGGACGGCGGCACCTCTGTTCTTTTCCTCGGAGTTCTTTTGGTTGGTGGTTTGAAGCCAATTTGGTGGAAACGGTGTGTTAGATAAACGTAGTCAGCCCTGGTTTGACAGCTCAGCAGCTGGATGTTACCAAGGTTCATGTATCGTCTTGTCTTATTGGCTCAGATTCAGCCATTGTCTTCTTGTCTTTTTTTTTTTTTTTTCCCCCACCTTCTATATAATGACACCGTGCTCTTCTGGAAGGGTTCTGTCAAAGAGGACAGACTGGTTTTGAAAACAAATTTTCAAAAT